ATACACATTAACTACCACACACACTATATCAGACAATGTTTCAGGGCTATTCATAAAATTTTCCAGTAATATACACAACAGTGTTTCACTGCTGTTCATAAGGTTTCACTGGCCAATTTTTTGGAGAAGTGGATGGCCTCTTCCTTCTTCCCAGTCTGTGTTAGTCTGGAAGCTCTGCTGAGACCTGTCCACCATGAGTGGTCCCACTGGTATTTGAAATACAAGTTGGCATGCCCTCCAGCCTCACAGTGACACACAAGACACCACTGTCTGACAAACTAACAGACAAGTGGTGGAAGAAATGCACTAGGGGATAAAAATATTCACAAATTATTTGGTATTGATTTATTTTATAAAATTAAAATGCTGTGTGATAATTTATTGTATGCAATATTATTGTAGGCTGTTTACCTATCTGTCTGTCTATCTATCATCTATCAATTTATCTCAATGAAGTGGCTCATGCACTTGTAGAGGCGGGCAAGTCCCAAGCCTGTGGGTTAAATGTCAAATTGGTGGATTCTCCTGACTCATGAAGCAGGAGGTGCTGTTGAATCCAAGATTGGCAAGTAAAAGGGTAGGCTGTTGGTTGTCTGGCTGCAAAGGCAACAAATCCCAAGATCGGCAGGCAATATGGAAGGCCCCTGTTCAAATCTAAATGGTGAGCCAGATTTAGGATTCCAAGAAAAAAGCTAGAGTCCTTTCCCAGAGCTTTTCCATATATATTAGAAACAAGCCACACTCCAAAGGAAAATCTCTTTCAACTGATTGACTGCTCATAGCAGATCTCATCACAGAGATGATTACATTATATCAGATTTCATCATGGAGAATAACTATGTCATAAGTGCCAAACCATGAATAACTATGGCCCAGCCATGTTGACACATAACCTTAACTATCACAAACTTTATTACAATGTATGTAAAATTCATCATTTATTTCTAACTTTTAGTAATTGTTTTAAATTTTATTGGTAATTCCAATTATTATTGCTTTAGTAGGGAGAAGTTTTTCTAAGTTCAACAACAACAACAACAACAAAAACTACCTTAGGATTGTAATGATTCAACAAGAGTTCTCTAATTAGCATTATTGTTAATAGAATTTTTGTTATGTAAAACTCTGGATTACAACATAATGATTTTGCTAAACAAAAGTAAGAAAAAATTTTTTCAGAATAAATTTATGATAATAGATAAATATCAAATGTCTTTTTATATGTTATGTCCACTATGTCAATAGAACATACAAACATGTAATTTTACATTTAAAAGAAATGTTCCATTTTGTAACTCAAATTTAAGCCTTATCTTTTGCATATATTCTATCATTGGATTCATGTCAGTATGATACATGGCAATAAGGCATGTTGCCACTGAAATTGAAAAAAATCCTACTTTGACTACAGGAACAAATGAATGAAAAGTCTCCCTTTTACACATCTTTTGTATGTGTGTGTGTGTCTGTGTGTGTGGAGTGCTATGGAAAATGCTTAAGGAGCTTTAGTGGCACGGTGCCTAAGGCATTTGACTACTAACCAGAAGGTTGGTGGTTCAAATCCACCAGCCCCTCCGCAGAAGGAAGGTTGGGCAATCTACTTCCACAAAGATTTACCACCTTGGAAACCCAATGGGGGTCTCTGTGAGTTGGACTCCACTTTATGGCAGTGAGTGGTTTTTTTTTTTTTTTATGGAAGATTCTTGGTCACCTTAGAGAACCATGGTGAACATTTAAAGATATTGTAGAAATTGTAGTGATGATGACCTAATGAGTTCAAGAGAATATGTGCTAAAATAAAGTGAATAGTAAATTGAACATGACCAGAAAATGAATTATTGTTCACAGTTTCCTGTGTACTCTGGTCAAGACTTGCATTTGTGGTGAATATTAATGAAAATAGTAGCAACTTCTGAGAAACTCATTAGAAGCCAGTATTTGTGGACAGCATGATGGATGATACAATATTATGAGTAGTGTAATTGGCATTAAATAAATGTTATTAGGGAACTGTAGAGAAAAAATGATATGTATAGTTAATGAAACATGTTCCAATGTATCATCGTATTGTGAATAATAACAGCATTTGTACAGTTTTCTTGTGGTGGAGGATATGGAATTAGATAGGAATGGCAAGTTTGATAATAAAGAACATGAAGAAATGCTACCTGGACTGAACAGGAAGAGATGAAGTCTTAACAATGCAAACAATCTGACTGGACAATAAACATGTAATAACTTTTCCTATACCCATCAGTTTAAGTTTTCATTCATAAATCACTTTGTTTCACATGGGTCAAAGCATTTTGGAATGTATTTGAAATATCAAATTGCTTACACAGACAGGAACCCTACACAATCCGTGGATGGTCTGGAAAGCAGTGGACCATACCTTTCTAATTGTCAGTTTTGGGGTGCTTTCTTCTGTGACTCTCTAGTTTTGCTTCTACTCCCTTTATCTTCATGCTAGTCTTCTTACCCTGAATGTAAGGATGATATGGAGGTTTTTTTAGGACTTTTTGGTGGGTTTTCTTTTCTTTTTACTGTATACTCTCATTGCTTTGATTATAATTTAGAATTACTTCCTAAGATTATATCCTATCTGAGAGTGAAACCTATAAATCCAAGTGCATACTGTGCATTTCACTTTTACGTTTCATGGATATTCAAATTAAAAATGTCTAAAAGGATTCTTGTTATTCTACTCTTGCCTGTTCCATACAGACCAGAAACTTGGAATCATGCTTGAAATATGCTCTCTCCCTCACTCCTGACACCTAAGTAAACACTGAGGACTTGCACTATGTGGTCCTAGTAACTAGAATACATTAATTTACTTATTCAACATCCATTCAATTATTTATTTAACAAATGTTTAAAGGTCTTTATCATGTACCAGGACCTCTGGTGGTGCAGTGGTTAAAATGCTTGGCTGCTAACCAAAAAGGTGGTGGTTTGAACTCCCCAACTACTCTGTGGGAGAAAGATGTGGCAGTCTGCTTTTGTAAAAATTTATGGCTTTGGAAATGATGGGGCAGTTCTACTCTGTCCTATAGGTCAGTACGAGTTGAAATGGACTCAGCATCAAAGAGTACCATATGCCAAGAACTGTTGTGTGTAGTGGATATAGAACAGTGAACATAAAAGACAAAAATTCCTGCTCTCATACTGTCTGAATTTTAGTGAAGGTAGGCTGACTAAACACTTAAATTAGTAAAATTTATAGTATTTTTTAAAACAAAACAAATGAGTTGCTGTCAAGTTTATTTTGACTAATGGCAACCCTGTGTGTTAGTGATAGATGTTATGCTAAACAGTCTAACACTAGGAAATCATTTGTGTTTTAAGTGAATATTGTTGAGTGATGTTTCTAATATACCACAACCAAACCCACTGCCATTGAGTTGATTCTGACTCATAGTGACCCCCATTGGGTTTCCAAGGTGGTAAATCTTTATGGGAGTGTATTGCCTCGTCTTCCTTCAGCGCTTCAGCAGAACAGCTGGTGGGTTTGCATGGCCAACCTTCTGGTTAGCAGTCAAATACCTTAGGCACTGCTCCACCAGAATTCCTTATTTTTAATATAGTAGTCAGGAAAACCAGTGGATCTGAAGAATCTGAAGAATCTGAAGAAGACAGTTGTCTGGGGGAAAGGCTATTTTAGGCAGAGGGAACAAAAAGTAAAGGATCCCAGAGGCAGGAATGTAGTTGATGTGTTTGAGAAATTGCTAGGCAGTTTGGATAGAGTGGACTGAAAGTGGAGATCCAGCAGGTAGTTAAAGAACATACTGTGTAGGGTCATACAGGCCATTGAAAAGATTTAGCCTTTTATGAGTGAGATGTGAAGCTATAAAGAGCTTTGTGCATGCCAGTGAAATGACTGGCCTGATATATCTTCACTCTCTAGGGAAACAAGCAAGGAGGCCCCTCCTCCACTTACCCAGAAGGCCATTACAGTAATCCCAAGTAGAGATGAAGTAGCTTGGACTTGGGTATAGCAATGAAGGTAGGGAGAAATTCTCAGAATATTCTGAAGATAAAATTGACAGGATTTGCCTGTGGACGTGATTTTAGAGATAAAAGAAAGAGGGGATCAAGGATGCCTCTGATGTTTTTGGTTTGAAAATTTGGAAGTAATGAATTGATATTAACTGGGATAGGGAAACCACAGAGAATTACCCTCTCTTCCCTACATGAACCCAAACCTAGTATGCTTTTATCTTTGGCTCCTGATGATCCAGTTTTTGGTATATTCTTCCACTCTTCTGCCAATCTGTCATCCTACTGCCTGTGTGTAGCCTTCTGGATCTACCTAGAGGATTCAATTCATCTCTTCTGAGCTTATTCATATGTTCTAATCCCTTATTACACTGCAATATAATGCTTTTCTGTATTTCTGCTTTCTCCACTAGACTATGTTCTCCTTGAGTAGAGGGACAAAAATGTATTTATTTAGAATTCCATTTTTTCTAGCACCATGCTGGATATAAAATAACATCCAATAATATTTTTGAATGTATAAAAAATAAAGGAAAATGTTAAAGTATAATTGTTACAGTAATATTTTTAACAGTTACTTTTTATTCTAACATATATTCTTCCAAAGCCTATGCACTCTCTTTCCAATCAAAGTACTGACCTTTCCAATCAACAAAACATCTTTAAGCAAATATTGATTTTAAATCTCCCCTGGCCCAATTTGGGATTTTTTCAGGCGCAGACAATTAGATTTGATGCTTGATTTATCAAAATTCAGAGTCTCAGGCCTGGGATGCATGGTTAGAGAATATACAACTATATTCTTAGTCTCTGCCAGGAAACCATGGAATGACGAGAAGTAGGATGTGCCCCTGAATGAGAGGGAAACCAAATAGTTCATATCAGCCATGTCCAAAGAGGAGATTAAGACTGTATTTCTCTCCCTAAATCACTGCCTCCAACTATAATTTTGATATTCCCAACCCAGAAGAGAAAAGGAAGAGCATAATTACTTTCTGTTGTCACCCAGCTCTCCTCAGTAATTTGCAAATCCCTTGTTTAATCTCCTGAGTTCTTACACCATAGACAATGGGATTCAGAGCAGCTGGAATTACATGGTGCAGGACATTAAGTAAGATAGGAATATCAGGGGAAACCTTTTTCTTCGCCATATGGGTGAACACAAAAACCAGCAGGATAGTGCTGAAGAAAAGGATGAGAATAAAGTGGGAGCCACATGTACTCAGAGCTTTGGCAGCTGTCCCCTTTGCCTTGAGTCTAAGAACAGCTCGGAGGATAAAAGCATAGGAGAGAAAGATGAGGATGAGGTCAGAACCCAGAAGAGTCCAGGCCACAATTAACTGGTAGATTCGGTTAAGGGCAACATTGTCACAAGAGAGCTTGGACACAGACAGGTTGGCACAGATACAGTTCTCAATGATATTTTTGCCACAATAATGGAGTCGAGCAGAAAGGATGGGGATAGGTGCAGTGAGAAATGTATTCCGGGTCAAGATGAAGACAATAGCCTTTGCCACAAATTGGTCAGTGATAATGGATGGATAACGTAGAGGCTTGCAGATGGCCACATAGCGGTCATAGGCCATAGCCAGAAAGGTACTTGATTCCATGGGCAGGAAATTGTTCATAATGAACATCTGGAGGAAGCAAGCAGAGAAACTGATGGGCCTGAGGTCAAACCAGAAGATGGCCAGGACCTTTGGGATGACAGTGAGACAGAGCACAATGTCCAGCAGGGAGAGGAGGCTGAGCAGGTAGTACATAGGCTCGTGCAGGGAGGCCTCCAGGTAGATGGTGATGAGGAGGGTGGCATTCGCCCCCATGGCCAAGAAGAAGAGCAGGCTGAGGGGCAGGGACAACCATTGCTGCCAGTTGGGAGATTTAACAAAACAGTTCAGGAGGAAATCAGAGACTTCAATAGAGAGGGAGTTGTTGCTATAAGAGAGCATGGCAGGGACTCTAGTGAGGTAGGTGTCTTTGAGTAGCTGAAGAAGAGAGAAAGAGTAAATTCTATCAGAGACCCTTATGAGTTTGTACTTAGCCTGCAAAATCTATGAGAGTACAGACAAAATCCACCTTGTTCATCTCACATCCCTGTGCCTGGCACATTTTCTGTCCCATTAGAGGTAGTTAATAAATATTTGCTGACATTTTCCCTGCTGTGAATTTATCTTTTGAGTCTGTTTGCTTGATTGATTAGTGAATCAGAAATTATTTAAACATCAAATGTTATCTAAATGAAATATATAAAATCAAAGAGGCTAAGATTAAGAAAATATTTCAGTCTAAATTTTAAAATGTATACATGTGTTATCTAAAGGGTACATGACATCCATCATCAAGTTTTAAAGGTACTAAAAGATGAGACTATCCAGAACATGTTGGACTGGGTACACAGAAAAAAATCTCCTAATGAAAATGAATAAAAATCATATTTATGACTATATCTGTATTTACTTCTACAGTTACACACATATCTAAACTTCTATCAATAACTATATTTGAATATCTTTGATGCTTCATGAACAGGCAAAAAAAAAAAAAAAGGAAAGAATATCAGGCCAAGGAATGAGTGAAATCTAGAAAGTTAAATCAGACATTGATGTTGACTTCCAACTTGAGGGTATTTGTATCGTTACATGAACTTAAGCACCAGTTTTCTTTACTTCCTGTTGTTTAGGGACTGAAGGTAAAATCCAGGGCAGCTCATACAGGTGGGCAAATGCATCAGATGATTCTCCTGTATCGATAAGACTCCATAACAAACACCCCCAAGTGAAAATGTGCATTAGAAATAAATCCATTTCTCCACCTCCAGTTTCTGCATCTATACTTGGTATATCAGAGAAAACTCTCCTTGGTATAAGGGAGAAATCTTTGCTGAATTTCTGGAACCACAGACTGCTCCCCATGTGACTTTGTATGCTGAATTTACACCACTGTTTACCTCAAAAAGTAAATTAATGTTATCCTATACTGGAAGTGCCCTCAGAAAATAACAGAAGCATGCCAAATCCTTCTTAAGAATTAACTTTTATTCTCACAGAATTTCAATATATAACGTTCTGAAAAAAAATTGAGTTGCTTGCAGTAAAAATTAATTTATATATATATATATATATATATATATATATATATATAAAAGAGTAAAAGACCATAAAAGTAATAAAAAGCAGAATCCAATCTACAAGACTTGAAGTATGGAGTTATTTGATAAAGAATATTGAAGAAATTTTCTTACTGGGTTTTAGCAAAGTAAAAATATAAGCAAAGGATAAGTATATTTAAAAGAATTAGTTATGTCTCCCAGAAATGAAAAATATAATAATTAAAATTAAAACTTTAAGAGAGAGATTTACTGGTAAATTAGGCTCAGTTGAAGAGATTAGTTAACTAGAAGATTGAACTGGAGAAATTTTTTAGACTGAAGCTCCAATACGTAAACAGAAAACACAAAAATGTGGTTAAGAGCAAAGACATGGGATTTTGATTAGTCACTCTATCTTTTTGTCTTATTGATAAAGAAGATGAAGTATGAAGTCAATATTTTGCTTTAGGCTCTAAAAACTATAAAAAGTAATAAATCAGATTTGACAAAGAACTGGATATATTTTAAAAATACAGTATTAGCAATTATTACTCAATGAATGGATTTAATAGAGGATTACAAGAGACAACTAATCAGACATTTAAGGAAATAGATGGTGTCCAACCACTACGACTGATAGCTCTGTAAAGGATCATATTAGAAGGTAAGGGTGATGTTACACTGAGGGGATGAAATCAGTGATGAAACAAAATGTGAGTAAAGTGTTGAATGGAAAACTGATTTATTCTGCAAACTTTCATCCTAATCACAATAAAAGGTTAAAAAAGAAAAAAAAAACAAAACAAAAAACCAAGCTTGAGGGAGGTCAGAAGAATCTGTCCAGAATTAAGATAGAGAAAGAGAGAGAGAGAGAGAGAGAGAGAGAGAGAGAGAGAGAGAGAGAGATGGAAAACATACATCTAAATAAAATTCTGGAGTAAGCCAAAATCAAGCCACCCTCCTGCCATCAAGTTGATTTCTGACTCATAGCGATCCCTTTTGGGTTCCTGAGGCGGTTAATCTCTATGGAAGTAGACTGCCCAGTCTTCCTTCCACACAGTGGCTGGTAGGTTTGAAATACCAACCTTCTGGTTAGCAGTCAAATGTCTTAGGCACTATGCCACCAGAGCTCCCTGTGAAGAGGAGAAAGGATGATGCAGAGGCTTTTGAACTTTCCTGAAGAGATGAAATGCATCATTAACCAGATTCAGGAATTCTAATAAATCTCAACCAGGATAAGTGATAACAAAAGTACACCTAGAAATATGGTCAAACTTCAAGTACTGAAGACAAAGAAAAGATCTTAAAGATCAATATGACAGTACCCTCAATGTAACATCACTCCTCCCACTTCCCCCTGTATTTCTTGTTTGCAATCCTCCTTCTCTCCTAATCCTTTCCTCCCTTTTGAATTTTGTCTTTGAGCAAATGGTACCTTTTTGGTCTCAAAATGTTGATTGTTCTAAGGATTGTGTACCTTCCTAGAGTTATTGTTCACTTTGTAAACCTGTTTATTGTTTGACAATTGAGCTATGGGAGTGAGTTCAGTTCCAGGTCTGAAGAGTGACCAATGACCATAGTCTTGGGAGTTCAACAAGTCCCTAACCAACTAGTAAGCCTGGTCTTTTTTTTTTTTAATGATTTTTAGTTCTGTTCCATATTTTCTTCCCACTCTATCCAGACCTTTCAATGTGAACCCTTTCAGAGCAGTCGGTTGTGGTAACTGGGCACCATCTAGTTGTTCTGATCTTCCGGTCCTGGAGGCTGAAGTTTGTGTGGTCCATTAGACCCTTGGACTAATTGTTTCCATGTATCTTTGATGTTTTTCATTCTTTGCTCCGTACGGGGAGAGACCAACAAAATATGTGTGAATTATTGAATGGAAAACTGACTTACTCTGTAAACTTTCATCTAAATCACAATAAAAAGATTTTTTTTTTTTTTAAAGATCAATATGGTAAGAATAATCAGATGAAGCAGTGCAGTGCCAGGCCACTGGCAGTTAATTTCTGGTTTGAGCTAACACATTTGCCACAGCATTCCGGCCACTTTCTTGAAGAATACCCTTATTCTCCTTCTTTTAACCTCTTGTATTTATAACATCTTATCTTCTTTCTCACAATTATTAGATGTCTTTCTCCACGTTAATAAAATTTCTCTGCCAATGTGATATCTTTGGGCCCTTGTACAGTGGACCGTTCCCAGTGCTCTGCCTGCACTATTGTTCATCATTGTGTCTGGAGAACTAATACCTGTGTAGAAACCTCTACAATCTTTTTGCCTACTACGGTAGAGTTTATAGAAGTTGAATAGGAATTTGTGTTAATTATTGGGTCTAACATCCATCCTATTCAATAGGTCCTGGAGGCAAGAGAGGCGATAAGGAGAGATTTAATGATGAGGGGAGAAGATGGAGTCATTGAGTAGAAAATGGTGCTTATGCTTGCTTCTCTGGAGATTTCTGTTGGTTTGAAGGATGCTTGGCACAAGGGAATGAGTCTAGAACAGAGTGGAAAGAATAGAGAAAACAGAAGCAGAAGTGTGCAGGAAATAGAGGATGCAGAAAAGAAGAACGAAGAGAAAGCAGAAATTAAAGCAGAGCAGAATGATCTGAGAATAGGAAAATCAAAGGAAGTAAAGAAAAATAGGGGAGAAGAAAGAGCAGATGCTTTTAGAAAATGAGAAGGGAAGTAAAAGGCAGCTGGTGAAGGTTTATAAGCAGTGATGCTGAGGGAAGAGTGTTTGGGAACACTTTTCCTTTCCAGATCTACGCTTGCTCTCATGTGCCCATAGGGTTCAATGGAGGCTACTCTGGGTGTCTCCCACTTGATACTCTCCTTCTTATCCTTGAACCCTAATTTGGGGACAACACCACCAGAGTTCCTTGCAAGGAGCTCCCCAGAGAGCACAGAAGTCTGGGCTTAGCTTTGCTGTAGTTATCTCCATCTGACCCTATGCCATTCTGCTCAAGTGCAATCCCCAATTCTCCTTCTTCCCCGGCCCTCAAGCCTCAACACTACAGCTTCCCCATTGCAAGCTCAGCTCTAATCCAACCCTAATCCCTGCTCTGGCCAGATTCCCAGTATTATATAGGTGGCTTGGTGACTTTATTTTCCTAAGAGAAATACTTACAAGATGGAGACAGTGATCTCTGCCAGGGAGGAATGTTCTTTCCCCTATCTGGATCTTCCACAAGCTGGCTCTCAGAAAGGAGAGTTTGTGCTTAACTTCAACTTCCTCTGCTTCCCTAGAGAAAGGCTATTTTCTTGGCTGTGGGGAATCAGGGGTTCAACATTTTCCTATCCCGGAGGGGGTAATTTTCTTCTCAGCTCTTGGTATCCTGTGATCCTTGAACAGAGTCAATGCTGCCTCTGGAGGCAGAGTTAGCTCACACCAATTGAATATGTAGGATGTGACACTTAGGAAATAAAGTATGAATAATTACCTAAAAGTAAAACCATCAGGAGGGAAAGTTGAAGATAAAATGCTACTGGATATGAAATTTTGATATTTTGGAAATGTATAATCAAATGTATGTATCCATATAAGTACATAAAACCAATCATGCACACCTATACTGATAATTTGTACCAATTATAGCACATGCTGTAATTTTTAAATACAAATATCCAATAAAGTTTCTTATAGGGAGCTGCTTACTTCATAATATACTCCATGAATGTCTGGCAGGTCAAATAAATGGTTGATGTTGTAGTAATAATACTTTACTAACCATTGTTTAGCCTGTTGTTTTTTGTAAAGCAGAATTGTCTCAAACTCAAAACTTAGAAGTTGGAAAAGAGTCCATTTCCCAGCTCTGCCACTTTCTGTTTTTCTTTTGACTTTTGACAGTTTCTTAAA